ACTCCCACCTGACATTACTCAAGACTGGGGTGTGTTGGGTGGGGTGGCTAAGACAAAAATTAAGATTTACTTTGCCCTTGCTGGTACAAGGTAATGAGTAAGCCTTCTGTTATTCAGTCCTCACAATAGTTGTGTGAACAGTTGTTATTATCCCCTTTTGCAGATGAGGAAACTGAGGCTCAGAGAGGTTAAGTTGCTTTTCCAAAGTCACAGCTAGTAAGTAAGTAGTGGAGCCAGGATTCAAGTTCAGGTCTGTCTGCTTCTAAAACCTAGACTTCTCCTGCCACCCTGCCGCCTCTCCAGTCAGCTGGTGAGGTAGGCCCGGGGGCTGGCCGCAGGGGCTGCCACCCTCGCCTTGTCTCTCCTCAGCACTTCTGGCTGCTGCTCCTGACCCGGGGCTTGGTGGGGGTTGGGGAGGCCAGTTACTCCACTATCGCACCCACGCTCATCGCCGACCTCTTCGTGGCTGACCAGCGGAGCCGGATGCTCAGCGTCTTCTACTTTGCCATCCCAGTGGGCAGGTGAATGGACCTTGGACTTGGTGGAGAGGCAGAAGGGCCTCGTGTGGGGGACATCACTGACTGGCTGTCCCTTCTCCTTCCCTGCTCCCTCCCCACAGTGGTCTGGGTTACATTGCAGGCTCCAAAGTGAAGGATGTGGCTGGGGACTGGCACTGGGCACTGAGGGTGAGTATGGCCATTGCTCATCCCCCAGAAGGCCAGGGGAAGGTTACAGCCTTCTCACTGATGTTGTTACCCCTAGACATCCTGCTTTTAAGCAGCACTTACGCTGCCAAACCTGAAGCTTTCCTGCCTCCCCTCAAAGTCCTGTGCTAGAAGGGGGGGCTGTATTGGCTCTCAGGGTCAGCTTCAGGTAAAGCTGGATCCAGGCCTCCCCGGTTGCAGGAATTTAACCATTCTTTTTCTCAGCTCTGCTTTCCTTTGTGTTAACTTCATTCTCGAGCAAGTGAAAGCTTCAGACATTTCTTTTTCTATTAAAAAGTGGCACCCTGGCTCCTTGAGCAATCGGCCTGAATGGTGTACTGATTAGGTGGGTGCAAGTCACCATGCCTGCCGCTGATTGAGTCACAGGCTGGGGAGGTACCGCTGCTCTCCTGGTCAAGTCTGAGCTACCAGCCCTGCCCGATTTGAATCACATGGACTGAGAAAGGTGGTTTCCCAAAATAAAATTAAGGTGCTATTACCAAAGAGGTAACAGCCTGGCTTAACAAATGGGGGCCCCAAGGGGCAGTTGACCTTCCCCCAGTTGAAGGTTCTGGATCCTTGAGCAGGCTCTGACCTGGCTGTGTGAACTCTTAGACCTGAGCTGCCTTTATCATCCTCACTTTCCTCCCAGCCCCATGGGTTGGGGGGGTGTTCCTACTTCTGCCTGTCCTGAAATGCCCTCTTTGCCCAGGTGACACCAGGTCTGGGAGTGGTGGCTGTTCTGCTGCTGTTCTTGGTAGTGCGGGAGCCCCCCAGGGGAGCTGTGGAGCGCCACTCAGACTCTCCGCCCCTCACCCCCACCTCGTGGTGGGCAGATCTGAGGGCTCTGGCTAGAAAGTAAGTTTAGTTCCACTATAACCCTACTTCTGAGGCCCATAGTGAGGACCGGACCTCACATCTAGGGTCAGACTTAAGTGGCTCTGGCCTTTGCTTCCCTCCCCAGTAAACCTACATGAGGCTAGGGACTCAGCCGTGACTGCTCCCTGCTGGCTTCTGGCTGAATTACAGGTCCCATTCCTGGGACCCAAGAAGGCCCCCTTATCCAGTGCCCTGACCTCCTAAAATAAGCCAGCAAGGGAGTCCCCTCCCCTAACACTCAGGGGAGTCTGACTTCCTTCCTCTTAACTGTCCAACAGTCCTAGTTTCATCCTGTCGTCTCTTGGCTTCACTGCGGTGGCCTTTGTCACGGGCTCCCTGGCTCTTTGGGCTCCTGCATTCTTGCTGCGTTCCCGAGTGGTCTTGGGGGAGATCCCACCTTGCCTTCCTGGAGATTCCTGTTCTTCCTCTGACAGGTACTTGGGAGGGGTGGGACTAGGGGTATGCTGGTGGCAGGGGATCTGAGTGGAGGCACAATGATTCAGCTCAGGCAGGGAGAGTTTGAGAGTTTGAATTTCCACAAGCACTTCCTCTCCCAGAGTCTCCTTCCTGGTCTGAGAAATAGGTAGTTGGACAATGCCTTCCTCTTGGGGCTTTGTGACCCCAGTGCGCTGTGGCCCAATAGGCCAGGCTAGGAGGGTGGCTGGGATGAATCGTCTTTCTCTCCAGCCTTGGGGACAAGACTTGCGCAGTGACTGCTCCCTTCACCGCCCCCCCAGCCTCATCTTCGGCCTCATCACCTGCCTGACGGGGATCCTGGGAGTGGGCCTGGGCGTGGAGATCAGCCGCCGCCTCCGCCGCTCCAACCCCCGGGCTGACCCGCTGGTCTGCGCTGCTGGCCTCCTGGGCTCCGCACCCTTCCTCTTCCTGGCCCTCGCCTGCGCTCGTGGTAGCATCGTGGCCACCTACGTGAGTAGCTGGCAGGTTGCAGAGGGAGTTCTGGCTCCAGAGTACAGTAAAGGTGCACTGGGGCAGGACTGGCATCAGCCGGCATTGCGATTTGGAGCCAATGCTGGGGCAGGAGTATCTAGGTTTGACTCTCCTCTCTGTCCTTTCCCCGCTGTGTGACATTAGGCGGGTGACTTAACTGCTCTGTGCGTGTTATCGTCTGCATGGTGGGAACAATGCCGTTTCCTAGGCGTCGTGTGATTAAGGGCGTCCATAGGTGGGCCTGGCATGTGGTAAATGCTCACCTCTGCTCTTGTGATGAGACCCACTGTCCTGGCCTCCTTTTCCCAGTTTTTCATCTTTATTGGAGAGACTCTGCTATCCATGAACTGGGCCATTGTGGCTGACATTCTGCTGGTGAGTAGGGGGACTGCTCCGGTTACCCCAGAGGCCACCTTGCTTTGCCCTTGAGGGATGGCCCTTACCCCTGCTTCAGACTGAGCCCAGACTGACTTCAGAGCCCCGTCGCGGGCCGGTAGCCTGCCTGCCCCTCCCCAGTCCCACTTGTGCAGTGGGGTCCACCTCTGACCTTAGCCTTGGCCCTGACCTCGTCCTCTGCCTCCTGCCTCTCCTCCTCCAGTATGTGGTGATCCCCACTCGACGCTCTACTGCTGAGGCCTTCCAGATCGTGTTGTCCCACCTGCTGGGTGATGCTGGGAGCCCCTACCTCATCGGCCTGGTGAGCACGTCCCCTTGACCAGGCCTGGGTGGAGTGGGGGGTGGTGCTCCTACACACCCAGTGCAGGCCAGTGGCCAGGGTCTGGCCCCAGTTAGATATCTGCCCTCACAGAGGACTAGGAGGCGCCTCTGCTGGACTAGAAGGAGGTCTTTGCCGATCTCAGCAGTGAAGGCATGGGCCTCACATCAGCGGTACTGGTCTTTTTTGTTCTTCCGGGGGTTGGGTCTCCTCTGCCTGACTTTGCCCTCTCCCTGCCCTTCCTACAGATCTCCGATCGCCTTCGCCGGGGCTGGCCCCCCTCCTTCTTGTCTGAGTTCCGGGCACTGCAGTTCTCGCTCATGCTCTGCGCCTTCGTCGGGGCTCTGGGCGGTGCGGCCTTCCTGGGCACAGCCATCGTCATTGAGGGTGACCGCCGGCGGGCCCAGCTGCACGTACAGGGTCAGTCGGGCCCATCTCAGCCCGCCCACAGCTCCTTGCCCACTGCGTGATGCTCTCTGCCTGGCCCCCTCTGTCTGCCCAGTCCTGTGACGCTCTCGCGGGCCGCGGCTCACTCAGTCTGCTTCGGGTCTGCCCGTGAAGCTCACTCCCCTGTGTGTCCCACCGCTCAGGGCCTCTGCGCCTGCCGCTGCCTGTTGCCTGTTTGCCCCCTTCCTGCCCGCTCGTCTGTGTGTCCAGCCAGCCCTGGCTCCGACTCCCCCCTACAGGTCTGCTGCGAGAGGCAGGGCCGGCGGATGACCGCATCGTGGTGCCCCAGCGAGGCCGCTCCACCCGCGTCCCTGTGTCCAGTGTGCTCATCTGAGGGGCCCGCGTCGCCGTCCTATGCCCACCACAGCTGACTCGGGGTCGGGCCCACACCCTCAGCCGCCCCACTTCTAGGAGGACTACTGGCCGTGTTCCAGCTCCCAGACACTACGTGGGCAGCCAGGCGCAGGAAGCGGGGATCCACAAGGGGGCTCCTGCTCCGGAGCAGCCCCAGGGGCTCGGTGCTATTTGTAACTAAATAAACTTTGTAGCCAGACCCCGAGTGCCTGCCTGAGTCTCCTTGGATGCTAGTGACCTCTGACCTCTGGACTGCTAGGGAGTCCCTCTCCAGGCTCTGCCCCCCAACCCCGGGTGGTCACTCCTGGGGGGCCTCGGGCGAATCCGTGCCCTGTGAGCTGGGTGAGCCAGAGTGAGTTGGCCCAAGCGTGACTGTGAGTCACACGTTTCCCTGGCTCCAGCCCATCAGCTGGACAGGCCAGCCAGGGTGAGGTGGGGGTGGGCGCTGCCTGGGTTCCTTGGCATTCCTCACGTGGCAGCCTCCTTGCGGCCTCTTGGGGCCCGCAGTGTGGCTGGCGCTCTGGCTGCCGGCTGACCTGGGGTGGCCTTCTGCTCCTCCGGGAAGGAGTTGCCCCTGGTCCTCGAGGCCAGCTTGCCCTTCTTGGGGGGCCTAAGGTGGCTGCTCAGGTCTCCTCCCCTTCCCCACTAGCAGGGTGGGGGTGGGAAGGGGGCGGGCGCAGCCGCCTGAGGAGCCCGATGATTTCCTGCCCTCACCCGGCCTCACCACAGCTTCCTGCCACAGGCGGGCAGGCTCGGAGGAGAGGCAGGCGCCTAGCCCAGGGGCAGGTAGGGCTGGGGGCGCAGGGCCCGCACGGGGTGGCCGGTGCCCCCGACTTCAGCCTGGGCCCTGCCCTGATCGCCCGGGGATCAGGGTCTTCCAGAACCCACGCTGACCCCCCTCAGCCCCGCCAGGTGAGGGGACCCAGGGGCCCCCCAAGAGGGCACAGCACCAACACCAGTTGGTGCCTGCTTGGACCTCGTCCCCGTGCTGGCCCACCCTTGCCCTGCTGCGGCTCCGGCGAGAGGGGCAGGCGGCGAGCAGCCAGGCCTAGTTCCAGCCCTCCGCTGCCGATGGAGGCGGCCACCCTGCTCTCCCACGAGCTGGGCCTCCTCCTGCTGCCGCTCCTGGCCGTGTTGCTGATGGCACTGTGTGTGCGCTGTCGAGACCTGCCAGGTGAGCCGGGGGGTCCCCAGATGCCGGACGAGCTGAGCGTCTCTTCCCCCCACTCCCCAACCCCCTAGTCTACCTTGAACTGTTCGTAATTCTGTCCTGCAAAAGGACATACGGTGCTCGGACTCCAACCCCATCTCCTTCCGTCACCCCCATAACTGCTTCGTGGCCCTCTCTCCCCCAGGCTCCTATGACAGCAGTGCCTCGGACAGGTGAGTCTGCTCCCTCAGCCCCTCGCCTTTCCCTCCACGTCTCCCCCGGGCGGGGTTGGAGCCTTTCCTGGCCCCTTACCCAAGCTGTGTCTCTCCTGCCAGTGTGACTACAGGCGGCTTGATAAAACCATCTGGTGAGTACATGGCGGGTCCCCACTGCGGGGCGGGGTGTGTCTTTGTTGAGAGGCATGTGCCTTTGTTCGGTTTTTCCCCTTCTGACTGCCCGCATGGCCGAGGCCTGAGCTGGGATCGGAGAGATGGTGCCTCCTGGTCCACCCCAGGCATAGGGGTTGAGGGGACTCCTTTGCCTTGGACGGTGGGATGCAGGCGGGGTGTGGTGTCTGGAGCTGCTCCTTCAGATTGGCCCTGTGTCCTCAGTCCCGCTCGCCCCTTGGCCACCGGTCTCTTCCTACCTGCCTGTTACCTCCTACCCTCCCCTGAGCCAGCCAGACCTGCTCCCCATCCCGTGAGTACCCCTTTGTCCCCCGCCCTCCAAGTCCTACCCGTTACCCCCTCACCTCCTTGTATTGGGGGCCTCTTTCCTTGTTGCAACCCCCCCTCCCCCTGGTCCCAGAACTCAGCCCTAGGCATGACCTTTGACCTCTGGCTCCCAGGCGATCCCCACAGCCCTCTGGGAGCTCCCACCGCATGCCACCGCCCCGGCAGGACTCAGATGGCGGTAAGCAGGGAGTGGGGGCCTGGCTGCTTGTGAGTCGGGCCCGCCGGGGCTGACCCAGGCTCCCCCTCTCTCTCCCCAGCCAACAGTGTGGCGAGCTATGAGAACCAGGGTGCGTCTGGGGCCCCTGCTTTGGGGGGCTGGGGGGCGGGGGCCTGACCTGCTGTGCTGACCTTAGTGTTGTTACGCAGAGCCAGTCTGTGAGGACAAGGATGACGATGAGGAGGACCCTCACAACGAGGGCTACTTGTGAGTGGCCGGGGGAGGCGGGGGGGTGGGGTGGGGGGACGTGGCTGGGCCTGCGTGTCCAGCTCACTGGTTCTCGACTCCCCCTCAGAGTGGTGCTTCCTGACAACATCCCGGCCACAACCACCACGGTCCAGCCAGCTCCCGGGCCCAGCAACACCGGCCACCGAGACAGCAACTTCTCCAGTGAGTCCCAGCCTGTGACCCCACTCTCGCTGCGCTGCTGCACCCCACTTCCCTGGTGTTTACTTCTTGAAGCTTGGCTACCCCTCTTCGCTTTCTAGAATCCTGTCCTTCAGATCGTGCCCTTCCTGCTCTGATCTGCTGTCCTTACGTTTTCTGTCCTCTTTTGTCTGCGTGAGGTTGCCCCGGCTCTGTTCTTCCCATGCTGCTTTGAAACGCCCTCTCTCTCCTGCCCTGTCCAAATGCCTCCTTGATCTGGGGAGGGCCCTTCCTCACCGCCTCCTGTTCTGGCTTCTCGTGGCCTTGCCACGGCACCTCGAAGGATATTGATCATGGCTGTCTTGAAAAGTCTGGGGCAAGTTTTCTTCTTCCTGCATCGTCGCAGCTTCCTGTGAGCTGCTTTCCTCCTTGTGTTTGGCCTCATCCTTCCTCAGAGAGCATCGCAGGGGCCGGGGAGCCTCCGTTTGGCCGCTCTCCACTGTGTGCTTGCCTGGGCTGGCGCTGCTCTGACCTCGCTTGCCGTAAGGGTTCCCACTCGCCAGCTCCAGCCCGACCTCCAGCTGGTCTGTCCGTTGCTGCTTTTCATTCCCTCACTTGCTCTTTCAACATGGCCTGGGGGGCTGGGGTGGGGCCTGGCGCTGGCTGGAGTTGAGAGAGGAGCTCTCCTTTATGGAGGGCTGATGACACTCCCGAAGAACTTGACAAACCTTAGCTGTCAGCGCTCGCAGCCCGCAGGCGCTGTCTGTCTGTCTGGCCCTGCTCTTCTTGCCTCAGTTGTCCCGTCTGCACAATGGCAGCCATGCCCCCTGCAGCACCTAGGGCTGGGCAGCTGCTTCTGCACAGCCTCCATTTTAATCTTCACAACCCAGCGAGGCGGGTGCTGTTCCTCACCCTGATTCACAGGGAGCAAACCGAACGGGGGGGAGCTTGTCAGAGGAGGCCGGGTTAGTGGGGGCCGCGGCTGGATCGGAGGCCGGCGGCCCGGCTCAGAGCCTGCCTTGCCCATGTCTTCGTGGACACACGAGGGGTGCACTCCCACCCCCCCTCAGCGCCCCCAGCCTGGGCTCCTCTTCTGGCTGCTCCTCTCCCATTACGGCTGTCGCTCTGGCTTTGCCCTTGTCCAGGTCATGGCATTGCCTCCATCTGCGTCAGCTGACCATGGCACGACCTCTGGGTGTCCTGTAGACACTCGGGCTGCTTCTGTCGGGGGCGGTGGGCTCTGGGGCCCTGCCTGAGGGTGCAGGCTAACCATGCTGGGGGCTCTGGTTTCCCGATTTCCCAGCAGTGGAGTCAGGAGAAGATTATGTGAATGTTCACGAGAGCGAGGAGAGCGGGGATGCGTCTCTGGGTGAGTGGCTGGTGCCCCCCTGGCATCTCTGAGACCCACCTCCCTCTCCTCCCCCAGCCTCCCTGTCTGCTCTCAGCAGGCGGCCCACACCCCTTTAGGGGCTCCTTGCCCCCTGTGGTGTCCTCCTGTTCTCTGACCCTGCTGTGGCCTGCCCCCCTTTCTGTGCGGCTGTCCCTCTTTCTGACCTGTCCTCACAGACGGGAGCCGGGAGTATGTGAATGTGTCTCAGGAGCTACAGCCCGCGGCCAGAACTGAGCCAGGTGTGTACAGGGGCCTGGGGCAGCATGGCTGGGGGAGGGGCCTGATGGCAGGGATCTGAGACTGAAGCCAGCCCCCTCCTCACAGCCACCAGGGCTTCCCAGGAGCTAGAGGAGGAGGAAGAGGAACTTCCAGATTATGAGAACCTGCAGGAGCTAAACTGAGGGCTTGGTAAGAGGCCCTGCGCCCCAGTCAGCCTTGCCCCATGGGCTCCTAACCCTCCCCACCACCTCAGCCCTATCCTGGACTCTGTGGTCTCCTACCGCCCTCCTGATCCCAGGGCTCCCCCTTCCCTCTCCACCCTACTGTGTTTCAGTGCAAGGCCAAGCCTGTGTGGGAACCAGCCTAGTCCAGGAGAGCTAAGCCGGCAGCCATGTAATGGCTCTGGAGGACCCCACGTGGCATCCGCCCTGGCTCCAGCCTGACAACAGCCTGAGAATTTTCCCTTAACTTATTGTCACTTTGGGGTGCAGTCAGTGTGCCCCAGCCCTCTGCACCTTCTGAGAATGAATTACCCTGACCCCAGCCCTACTCTGCTAGAATAAAGGCTGGCGTGGTCTGTAAGTGCTCTTGCCTCCAGGGGGCCTTTGGGCTGGGGTCAGGGGGAGAGTGGGATGTCCTGGGGGCCTGTGTGTATCTCCACCCCCCATGGAGGGCCCCCTGCTCCAGGTACTACGTGTGTGGCTAGGTGGTGGCTGGCACGTGTCACCTTCTGAATGTGGCAAGTCTGAGCCAGGCTGGCGCTCCTGGAACTCAGTGCATCTCCCCGTGAGATAGTGCAGGCTGGCTGTGAAGCGGGGAGAGCAGGTGTCGGGGAGCTTGGGGTAGAGAGCAGGTATCTCACGCAAGACCCTGGCCCTTCAGTTTCTCAAGCTTTAAAACAAGGGGGTGAGCTTGATGACCTCAAAGAACTTTTTGTGGCTCTCAGTAAAACCAAACTTAAAAATCGTCCAAGTGCCCAAAAAGTGAATGTGCAGCTCGGAGCTCTTCCAAGTCCCATGTGTGGACAGCTCCCCTGGGGGTCTTCCTACAAGGGAGGTGGGACTCCCTGGGACTGGGGTGGGGCCTGGGCATCTGCGTTTTGGAGGTGCACCCAGGTGACACTGATTCTGCTATCTCTTGAAGTGCACACTGAGTACCCAGGGTCCGGCGGGTACCCTGTGACCATGAGGGGCATGCCTGGGCCAGTGAGGCTGGCCGGGAATCGGGTGGGAAGGGTCAGGAAGCAGGTCTTTGTTCACGGTGGTGGCCGGGCTGGAAGGATGATGGACCCACGTACCCTGGAGGCCTCACTTGGGGAGCCTGCTGGAGAATGATGCCAGCGTGGAGAGCGTGGCCTGGAGGTGGGCAGGTGCCTTCATGATGGTGTCAGAACTGGAGCCCGTCACCCCTGAAACGAACCCCCCCAGCTTCCCAGTTACATGGCCAATAAATTCCCACTTTCCTTCCATCAACTTGTCTTGGGGTTTCTGTCACAAGCAACATAGTCCCGACTGACACCCCACATGTCAGCTGGCGTCCCCTAAGGGGTGCAGACATGATGGGGGCGGGGACTCTTCTTGGAGCTGCTGCCACCTTCCCATCCTCGCCTCATTGAGCCGTGGGCATGCCCCTGTGGTCAGGTGACCCCATTTCACAGACGGGAGAACACAGCTCAGAGAGAAAGGTTCACCCAAAGGCCCACAATCAGAGAGGCAAATCTGGAATTGGCCCCGTGGCTGTCTACGGTGTGGTGAACTACGAGAACCTCACCAGACGCTGTTGCAGCCTCACCAGACGCTGTTGCCAGTATCCCCACTGTGGTGGCTCCCCCACTGGAGAAGTGGGGGAGGGGGCCTGGACGGGGCTGCACAGGCTGGACACCAACAGGTGGGCTTAATCACTTTATTGGAAGGAAACACCTATGAGCAGGGGCCTGGGCTGAGACACAGAGCAAGAACAACCCAGCATCATCAGTCCAGCTGAAGACGTGTCCTCTTACGCGGCCAGCATCTGGGGAGAACGCGTGATGAGTCAGGCACATGGGCAAGGGGCGGCGCAGGAAGGCTCAGGATAGCATTCAATGGCCCAGGGCGGGGACCAGCAGACGGGTCACCAGGACAACGGGACACAGAGTCCAGTGGCTATAAGTGCGTGGCCTAGGCCTCCCTGGTGGCACAGCGGGTTGAAGCACGGCACTGTGAAGCTGTCCACAGCCACTGCAGCATGAGTTTGATCCCCGGCCTGGAAGGTGACCCACTGGCACAGCAGATCTCTCCTGCCTCCATCTACTGCCCCCCTCAGCAGTGGACTTCAGTCAGTCCACCTGTTCTGCTTTCTACTCTTATCTCTGGTAAGTCTTCTCCCTGTGTCTCTGGCCTGTACCCCGGTTCTTGTCTGCATAAATAAATAAATCTTTAAAAAAAGAATAAAAAGAAGTGAGTGGCCTGGAGCTATACCTGCCAGCATAGGTAAGTACCAACCAGAAGTGGAGTGAGGAAAGGAACACCAGGTGCTTTATTTATATGAAATTAAAAATAAGAAAAAAATTGGAAATACAAATGTATGTAAGGGTCTTAAGAGTGGTAATGTTATAGGACAGGGAGAGGGGCACCCTCGAGCCCCCAAACCTGCCCACTCTAAATAGGTTTTGCCATCTGTGGCACAGAAAGGAACGTTAATACAATGGGTGTGCAGTACAGACAAGACAAAGACTGTCGTTTCTAAATCAAGCACACAGTGCTACCCATGGGTAAAAGTCCACCCAAACAGGATGGGCCTAAAGCAAGGCCTGAAAACCAGACACAGGTCTAAAGCACCTTCCGGCAGCGACCATAGAAAAGGGTCAGAAATGGCCAGGCAAGTCTGGGAGGAAGAGAGCAAAATCAAGATAAACGCTGCCATAGTCAACCTCCTTCCCACGGGTCTCTTACCACATCTGTTTCAACCAATCCAGGGCCAAGAAACACGATTCGCTTCTTCACGTGTCTCTGCTCCCTCAGGTCTCCTTCTGGCCTCCATCCTGATTCCTTCCTCCTCAGTCTCCTTTACAGATTCTTCTCCTTCCTGCTCAGCTCTACCCTCCTTTGGGTGGGGCAGAGAACCTGGAAACTCCCCTTTCCCTAAGATTGCGAAGGCGAAGGCGCTCAGGAAGGCCTCTGAGATACGCATAATGTGTTATCCAGCAGGGTACAGAAGCGTTCGCTGTGGGATTCTTTAATGTGCTGGCAATGCTGACCTTGTAATAAGAAGAGAGACTGAGGAGGGAATAGCTGGGATGGGGGTGAGCAGGGGGCTCAGAGACACTTGTCTGTCTGTGCCAAGGGTGAAATGGTGCCTGCCAAGGCCCTGAGGTGGGAAACAGTGAGGAGGCTGTTGGCATTAGGCAGGTGAGAAATGGCACAGGCTAGTTGGAGAAGTGGATGGGGCTAGGTGGGCAAATGAGACATTTGGATGGCGGAATCGAGATGAAGTGATGGTTTGGCTGGGAGCTGTGGGTTGTGGGGTAGTTTGGGGTGACTGTTCCCGGCCTTGGTAATTTGGGGGAGGGGGCATTTTCAGAGCCACTGAGCAACTTCCCATTTGGGTTTCTTGGACCAGGTAAGAGGATGCAGCTTCCCTTTCTCCAGTGGGTAAGCCAGGGGAGTGGGGGAGGGGAAAGGGGGACAGACAGAAAGAGGCAATTCAAAGAGGCCTATGGGCCTGAGACTAGGGCTTCTTAGCACAACCCTTTCAGTGGAAACTGTGGAGGAGAAATAATTTTTTCCCCTAAAGTCTGTTGGAGGAAAGATGGATTTAGTGCTAAGTGAGGACCCTTGAACATTTTCTGGAGTTGCAGGAGGAGACATCTGTGATCAGGCTGTCACAGCTCTCTGGATTTGGGTCCTTTCAGAAGCAATCAGAAGCACAGTCCTAGTGCCCATTGTTTACCTGGGAGGTGGTCCCAGAAAAACACGGTTAGGAGGGGAGTGGGGAAGTGAGACCAAGAGAGGTCAGGTAACAAAGGGTGTGTTCTGAAGCCAGTCAGCTTTGCAGCAGGTGGGGCATAGGTGGGTCTGGGGCCCAGCCTAGGCCATGCTGCCCGGCTTGGGGGGGAATTGGCGATATCTGTCCCTCCCAAAGGCCGCTGTGTGAGTGTGTGTGTGCAAGCCAGTGCTATTGCACTGGTGAGGCGGGGTGGTGAAGGGGCTGTGGGACTACATAAGAGTTCAGACTCTGTGGTATTTGGTGTGACTTTTCTCAAAATGCATTGCGTGGCCCTGTGAGTCCTGGGAGAACTCTGGGGTCAGGAGAATTTGGGGAAAGCATTTTCCCCTGCAGAACTGAGTTGGGCATTATTAAGTCAATGGCTCTGAGAGATCCTGGATAAACAACTTTCCTCCTTCGCTTTTCCTATAGTTCCCAAACACACTTGACTTCAGAACCTTTAGAAAATATTATTACTGGCATTTTGCGGAACACTTTCTAACAGAGAGGATATCGCTCGCTTTGCCATGCCAGCATCCATACTCATTGCTCCTTCCTCCAAGGAGGCCATCAGGATTTCCTATTGGAAAAGTGTAGTTTACTCAACCTACTTCCTAAGCGCACATGTGACCTAGGATTGGCCAATCGGGAGAGCCCACTCTCCAGCAATCTGATTGGTCGATTAGGGCACGTGACCTAATTCCGCCAATTGGCCACATTCCCGCGTTTTGGGACTAACGGGAACGAGTATTTTCATCTACCCGGTATTCTCGAACTGAGCCGCTGACACAGACGTGTACTTTCGCAGGCTTCTGCTTGGAGAGCGCGTGCCTGAGCATGACGGCACACGAGGCGCGCGGAGTACCCAGAAAGGGAAACAGACTCTGAGTCCCGAAAGCCAGTGCGAGCACGCAGAGCAGCGTGCCTGGAGCAATACTCCGTGACGAGTTTACCTTCTTGTTCACTTAGGCTTAGGTCAGTTTGAGCCAGGCTTTCTGCCACATGCAGCAGATTCCTGGCGAATAGTCAGTAATCATGGCTGCACTCGTTTCCATCAAAGCCCCAACCAGGTTGTTGCGCCGGGCTCCGACCACACCGAAGCCCAGACCAGCCTGGTCTGTGAGGAGCCCCTGGTACCAGTGTGAGAAACTTCCAGAGCCACCTATCCCTCACCCTACAGCTGCTCTAAATGCGCGTGAGGACTCCCACTGGGCGAGCGTTTGCTGGCCTGTAATCCCGCCATCCAGGCTGAGGGTTGGGCCACAGCCTCCCTGTGCCAGCCGCCGCCTCCTCCCGCAGGCCAGGCGGCCCTTCCTTTGCTCCAAGTGCTTGGCGCTTTTAGTCTCGGAGCTGAAGAGCAAAGGTCTAAAGGGAACTGGACTTGCTGACAAGGACTCCGGGCTTCAAGTGAGGGGACTGAGTCCTAACTCTGCCGCTAACATTCTGGGCTTTGAAGATGTCGGACTGCGTTTTTAAACCTCCCCATTCTGGTTTTCCGACCATAGAGAAAAGAAGAGGCATCCTTGATGCCGGGAAGGCTGGAAACCTGGAGTCAGAGGCCTACATGCCAACTGAGGGTCTAGTTTCTCTCTCCTCCTCCCCTCACTGACTCCTTGTCCACACCTCCTCTCTCTGTGTGGCCATGCCACGGGCCAGCAGCTCCGGGTGTTACAGAACAAAATCTATTTCAGGACAAAATCTGTTATATGACAGGGAGAGAGAGACACCCCTGAAACCCCAAAACCTGCCTGCTCTAAGTGGGTTCTGCCATCCGCCACGTCAAGACAAAACATATAAAACTTTAATGAAAAGGGACTTTAATACAGTGAATATACAATATAGAACACAAGGAATATAACTTCTAAATCAGACACCTGAAGTGACTCATCCCCTCGTGGGCAAAAGTCAACCCAAAAGGGATTGGCCCAAAGCAAGGCCTGAAAGCTGGCACAAGACTAAAGCACCTTCTGGCTGGGACCCATGGAAAAGAGTCAGAAATGGCCACACAAATCTGGGAGGAAAAGAGCAAAATCAAAATCAATA